ACTTTAGATTTGTACATAAATTAGGCCTGTGAGTTAATTACTGTTGTGCTATAGTAAATTCTATATGAATCTTTTGTTAAATTGTTTAACTTAAGCTATCAATTAAGTGCTGTTAAAATTCTAGGCCTAAACTGTTTGTCAAGTCCAGGCTCAGTATAGCAAGGAACTTGTGACTCACCAGGAGGGTCTTCCTTAGTCCTTTTTATCCTTATCCTTTCCTACCCTTACCCTTCACCCCCTCCTCCTGCTCCAGCCTCCACATAGATAATTTTTGAGTTGATGATGGTTTTAGACTGATTGATTTTAGATTTTAGTTTGCTTTTTCTCTGTGTGCTTTAATAAAGTAGTAGAGTTAACCCTGCCAAACTTTGTTGTGTTTTCACTTTTATATTAAACATACTTTTGTCAATACCTTTGCCAGTGATTCTTTAAGTGACCTCGAAACACTCATTCATGAGAGTTGTAAAGATTTTGTGTTTCCTTTAATGTTGAAGGAGCTGTCTGAACGATTGCAAATATAAAGGAAATCTGCAAATATGCAAATATGAAGGAGATTCAAGTTGATAAAAGAAAAAGGAAAAAACTATTTTTAAAATAGTCTTACACAATTTGCATCCCACGAAGGTAACTAAGGCTACATGTGTAAGCAATACTGACTGTCTCAGTTGCACCTCAGCACTGACACGTCACAGATGGATGTTACATAATGTGTTTGTAAAACAGGCATTTTCCAGTGATTTTTGAAAGTAGAACTGGATGTGCTGATGTAGCTTGCTCCAGAAAGAACACTGTGTGTCCTATACCCACTGCAATGAGAAGAATTCCAAAGTGCCATGCAAAATGTCACCTGATCTCACTTAAAGTTATTTCATCTAGTAATATCAGAGAAATTACAACAATATGTTGTTCTACATTAAAGTACATGACAGTGTTATCTGTGAGACCTGGCAGCTGCCACTTTTGGCCGAGCAGATGGCAGTGATAAAAACACAATGCAGGGAACAGGTTGTTAAAGACATATCCGTCATTACACTGTCACTGCACAATTACACTCAGCTCCAAGATACCATCAAAATGCATGGCTGTGGCGCTCTCAAGCAGGAAGATCTTGCTTATGTGAGGAAAATTATGTATAACAATTAATTCTGTACATATTATTAATAAGATTCATTCATCTCCTGTTCAGAGGAGCAGAAAAAGCAGCCAGGAAAGACATCCAAAGTCTTTAAAGTCTTATGTGTTTGCACTTCTGTTCTTGCAGAAGGGAGACAACCATTCATCCCCTGTAAAGGAAAATCAGAGTCAGCCATCGCTTTCATAGCAGTAGTCAATTTATATTCCCATTTAAGGGCCAGAGGGCATGTTAGCTCCCATTTTCACTTTTTTAGCTTTTTTTTGCAGGGTGGGGTGGTGGGGCATAGGGGAGATATTAAATGAGTATATTGCTCATGGAACATACCAGCCAACCACTCCTGGAAGCAGAAACAGGCTAAGGCACAGGTGGCAGGGCAGCAGCAGCACCAGCCTGTGCCCCCTCCATCCCTGCCCGTGGCCACTGCCAACACTGACAGGCACTTCTCTGCTGCTGCCATGACCAGTGAAGGCATACACCCAGGCATTCAGAAAGCCCAGGAAACAAGAAAACAGACCACCTCCCTTGTTCCAGAATCACAGAATGGTTCAGGTTGGAAGGGACCACAAGTGGATCCTCTGGTCCAACCTCCCTGCTCAAGCAAGGTCATCCTAGAGCACGTGGCACAGGACTGTGTCCCAACAGTTCTGGAATACCTCTAGTGAGGGACACTCCACACCCTCTCTGTGCAGCCTGTTCAGTGCATGGTCACTGCGCAGGAAAGAAGTTCTTCCTGATGTTCAGGTGGGACTTCCTGTGCATCAGTTTGTGCCCACTGCCTCTTGTCCTATTGTTGGGCACCACTGAGAAGAGCCTGACTCCATCTTCTTGGCATCCTCCCTTTAGAGGGCATGCTAATTCCAAAGTGCCAGGCTGCCAAAAGGGACATGGCATTCCTGAAGAGCTGAGCAGCATCCTGAAGCCCTGAGGAGAAAGAATACCTTCAGTGTTACTGCTGTGCTCCTGCAGTGAGTGTCCAAGAAATGACTCAGTGTAAGTACAGACCTTATAAGGGTAGCAAGGAGGACCTGGTCACAGCACACCTGGGACGTGAGACAATCTATCAGAGGCCACTGAAGAAGCCCCCAGAGAGCTGCTGTGCCTGTGCACTGCTGACACTCAACGAGCAAGCAGAGATGCTGGAACCAGACCCAGGGTGCTCGGGAATGCTGGACCGTGATGTGGCACTGGAGACAGTTTCATCTTCAATAAAAACTCCAGACAAAGCAACCTACCTGACACAATTTTGCCCATAAGCAGCGCAAGCAATTTACACATCCTGACTTGGGTTTATATATTTGGGGCATCTGCTTAGTTTTTATTACTTCTGGCCTCAGCTCTCACATTCCTTCACAGATCAAATAACTGCTTTCCCTATTTGCTAATTTCAGCAGCTGGTTATTACTCACCAGACTCCTGCTATACTCGCCTGGGGAAGAATCATAAATAAATGTGTAAGAGCAAGCAGATGCTGTCATTTTAAAAATGGGATCCACCCAGTAAAAACGTTCTTCTTTGGACTCAAGTGGTGAATCACTGAGCATGCGTCTTGATGTCATTTTAATAAAATCCAAAACCAATCAAAGGACTTTGTTCATTCATTCCAATTAGTAAATGAGGAAAGAGTGCTATAAAGGAGAATATTGCTACAAATAAGAAATTAAATTCTGAACAGGCCAAACATCTATTCTTTCCAATGAAGACAAAGGCAAGATAAGACACAGAGCATTTTTTTTTAAATATCTGGTAAAACTAATCACTTTTCCACCACTGGCAGACAAGGTAACATCAACAAGGTAACATCAACAAGGTAACATCAACTGTGGGTCAGGGAATCTATGACTGTAAACAGAAGAGAGAAATACAGATGGTTTATCAGACTTTATTATCTCCCTTAATTGTGTGCCTGTTTGTTTGGGGGTTTTTTAATAGGTAATTTCTTTCTGCATGTCAGTGCTAGGAGAAAGTGAGCTGCCTGGAGCATATTTAAAAAATAAACAGAATATAAGAGAGAAGAAAAAGTGCTCTGCTGACTAAAACCCAGGAAGCAGCAGAGAAAACCTCGGTACCAACTTTTCTTCTGTGTTTTAAAAGGGACACCTTTCTGCAAGGTAAGGCAATTTGGCTTCCACAGTCTTAAAAAAAAATTACTTTTGATGAAAATAGCACAAGCTTCAGTGATGGTGGCATAATCCACAGAACTCTTTTATGTCAATTCCTGCAGGTTAAAGAGATGACAATAATCTTTGTTCCTTGGCAGCAGGAATTAAATTCTCTCTTGTTGACTTAAAATGGAAATGTCTAGCACTGGAATCGTCCACTTTGTTGGTCAGACAGCTGACACAAAATCTCTGCAGTAGTTCACAGGTATTTCAAAACTAGCACATATTACTGCGAGGTTAACTGCTCTGAGAGCAAAACTTCCCAATTCAGCATTTGCAAATCTGTTGGGTTTTTTCCCAATAATTTCAACCAAGTTGCTACAATGCAACTTTATGAGTTCCTAGAGGATTTTCCTCCTAAAGGCCAAACACAATACAAGACTCAATACACACCTTAAGACCAGTCTTCATTACCTCAGTAGATATACAGCCCTTTCAAGACTATTGATGCTGTGTCAACATTCAAACCACTGTACCAAAATCTGACTAGAAATAATTGTCTTCCAGTGTAAGCTCAAAGAGAAACACTAAGCCTCCCTGAATACCCAAAACCTAAAATCTACTTCCATTTGGCTCTTCACCTACAGTAAAACTGATAAAGCTCATCGTGGCCTCAATGCCTCACCTCTGTACTGGAGGTTACATGTTCAGAACTTGGTGTTATTTTAAATACCAGAAAGAAAATCCTAATCTTCAAAGCACAAGTTGTGAAAATATAACTAACATTTAAACTAGGAAAATTATTATTTGATGAGAATTGTATCAAGCACCTTAAATACAAATAAAAGTTAATATAAATTGCAATAAAAACTTGACAGTCCATAAGCACAAGACTAGAACACTTGCTAGCATCATTAAGTTACAAATACTGAACACGGGGTCTAACAAATTCTCCTTGCCAGTTACATACTTTCTCCTGCAGTAGCATATATTAACATTTAGTAGTCAAGGAGGAGAAAATTCTGAATGAAGGTGCTAAAATCACACTGTCACAGGAGGAATTTACGGTGCCAAGAGAAAGGCAGTCAGAAGACAGGGAACAGATGGGCCAGCATGATAAGCAATGCACAAGTCTGAAGTGTGAGAGCAGAAGTGATCCTTCCGAGGGAACAGCTGGGGAGAGCCACTAGCAGCAGCAGCAGCAGGAGGACTCACACCATTTTTAATTTTTTTTTTTTTTTTTGAAAGCACTAGTGACTAAGCATGTACAAAGAAGAGTGAGAGTCTCAGTACAAAAAGTGATGATTTAACTTTCTCTGTAAATGTAGGATTTTGCATCAGGTCTGAAGATTTCAAGCCTGGCCAAGTAACACTTTTTCATGAGCTACGAATTCCTCATTTGCTGTTATAATGATTTAGACTTTGGTTCACCATGTTAAGACATTCCTCAGTTGCCGAATTTTAAGTAAAATACTTTTTGGTTTTGCAGTCAAGTATTAAGTCCTGAGAACATGTCAGGGCACATTACCAAAGCAAGCTGTGGCTGAACGATGCCGTGCCCAGTGCGTGAGAAGACTGAGGTGCATACTCCATGCGGAAAGCACATTAACACCAAGCGGCTGAGCCAGCGAGAGGACGCGGGCTCGGGGCCGCGCCGGGCTCCGCTCGGGACCCTCGAGCACACGCGGGGTCCCGAGCGAGGACGTTTCTTTCCAGCACAAAAGGCCAGCAGGGAACAGCGCATCTCCCCGTCCTCCAGCACTCACCCCCTGCTTCCAGAGCGCGGGCGGCCACCTCCTCACCAGAGAACGGGACCTTCCCCGAGTCCGTGCGCTCCCCTTTACTGCGAACGGCGACGTCGATCCCAGTCACTAAATTCCAGCGGGCTCGCTGGTCAAGGGCGCGAGTGACACTGCCGAGACTGAGCTTTGGCGGTACGAGAGAGAACACGACGCCGGCCCAGCAGGGCGGGGAGCTCGGACCGCCGCGCCACCCAGCCCGGCCCGGCCCGGCCCCGCCGCTCCGTGAGGGCAACGCTGTTCCCGCGCCCGGCCCGGCAGCGCCGCCCCGCGGGCGTCAGCGCAGGCGCGGCCATGGCGGCGGCCGGCGGCGGGGAGGGCGCGGACGGAGGCCCCGCGCTGTGGGCCGAGGTGCGGGCGCTGCTGCCCCGCGCCGAGGAGGGGCTGACCTTGGCGCTGAGCGGGGAGGTGGAGGGCTGCGTCCTGCCGCTGCTGCGGCGCGCCCGCGCCCTGCTCTACAGCCCGCCGGGCCCGCCCGGGGCGGCGGCAGCGGCGGCGCTGGCGCGCTTCAGCGACGTCCTGCGCGACTATTCCTGGGAGAAGCTGAACGCGGTGCCGTGGAGGGAGGTCGGCAAGGGCTGGCGGCAGGTCTACGCCTACGGCTGCCTCTTCGGGGCGCTGGCCGAGGTGGCCGCGGGCCGCCCGCGGGCCGCCGTGCGCCTCTGCGACCTGGGGCTGCTGCTCGGCGCCGCCGTCCTGGACAACGTCCTGGCGCGCCTGGTGCGGGCGCTGCAGCCGCGCCTGCCCCGCGGGACCGGCCCCGCGCAGAGGTACCGCCCGCGAACCCCCTCTCCTTCCCGGCCTCCAGCCTCCCCGGGGGTCTCGGCCGGTGTTGAGGGGGAACGTCCATTCCAGAGGGTCCGGCCGGAGCGGCCCCCGCCGCCCCCCGCGGTGCGGCCGGAGGAGGCGATTCCTCACCTTCACTGCCCTTCGCTGGAGCACTTCAGAGACAACTACCTCATTCCCGAGCGGCCCGTGGTCCTGGAGGGCGTCATGAACCACTGGCCGTGTATGAAGAAGTGGAGGTGAGAAAGAAGTTTCTTCCCTGTTCGAGTAAAGGCACGATCGTTCCCTGTGTTGGGTGTCTTGGTGGACGGTAGAGCAGCAGAGACCTCTGCAGAGGAGGGACGCTGTGGGCAGTGAGTTTTGCTGGCAGCGCCTGTCTCCTTCTCTGGAAGTTGCTTCACAGATAAGGGAAGCGCTTTTGGAGCGTTCAGAGCATCACACAGCAAGTGCCAGACTGAGCCAGGGCGAAGGTGCCCCTCCACCCAGCCTGGGGCTGTCCCTGGAGCCCGGTGGTGAATTGGTGGTGCAGTCTGTTGCTCAGGTGGGAACTCACAAGGAGTGCACATTGCAAAGTGCCAGTGAGCTGCTCACGGCTCAGTGGGTCTGTGATTTTTACCCCTTGGAATGTGCCGATAATTAGTGCAATGGAAAGTGGATTTCAGAGCCATGTGTCGGCATGATTGACTTTTTCATTGACAAAGGTGAGCACTGATGTTTGTTCAGTGTCATGTTTGCATGTTGAGTTTCAGCCATCACCATGCAGGAGTGAGTAATAGCATTGTGCTGCCTGCCTAATGTAAGCAAGTGGTGCCTTGAGTATTTGTGAGGCGAAGCTCATGATTCCTTACAAAAGGGGAAAAAGCACTCATACTTAGTTTGAGCAATTGCTTTTGTTTAACAGCCAAGGGTACAATTGACATTAAGTGAACACACTTGTTATTTTTAGGGGTTTATTCATTTCTGAGGGAAGGTACTCCACTGGTTAACTTTAGACACTTAAAAAGATGAACTTCTCCATTTAGTTAATACCATTGTCCATGAAGAGATGTATTCCACCCATCAGAGTAATCCCTCTGGCTGTAACCAGGATGGATATTATTGGCGCCTGTATACGGAATTTGACACTGGCAGAGAGTTGATCTAGTATTAATGATAAAAAGATACAACATTTTATTTAGCAAACATGGCAGCAGGCAGCAAGAAGATTGGCCATCCCTCACCAAGAGAGACTTAATAGCTTAAATCTCCTCAGCTCCTAAGGAAACCACAGTTAACTGAGGTGAACGAGATTTTAAACCAAAATAAAATAGACAGTTGTGGGATAATGTACACACAAACCTGCCTGCTGATTTCCTTGCCGCTTACATTGTTTTCTACTGCCTTTTGTATCTGGTTGGTTAGGTTTAGAGAGAAGAAACTTGTGGTAGTAGAATTTTATTACCCTATAAGACTAATTTGGATTGATTGCCTTACATTCGAAATTAGTAAGAAAAGTAGTATAAAAGGTAATTGAACTTTCTTTCTTTCAGCGTGGAGTATTTTTGTCAAGTCGCAGGGTGCCGCACAGTGCCCGTGGAGTTGGGTGCCCGGTACACAGATGAGGAATGGTCTCAGCAGCTCATGACTGTCAATGATTTCATCAGCCAGTATATCATGGATGAGGTGTGTTACACTCATTTTATTTCATCTCCAAACACAGCAGCATGGTACTGGTACAGACAACAGTTCTGCTTCCAACAAACGTACTCGGTGGTGATGGTCAAGGGAGAGGGTGTGGTGTAAGCACAGCTCTGAATTAAAAGGCTTGACCTATTTTCAAGATCTGAAGCTAGAAATAGTGATTGAAGCAATACCTAGGATTGATTTTTACATATCATCACATGTACAGCAGCTGAAATTTGACAAATAAATACATTCATTCTACAGCAAAAGCCTGACTGGTGGAGTCTAAGTATAAGGGATCCTCAGCCAGCAGGATCAAGATCCAAATTCACCTGCCACAAGGCAGAAAGATAAAGAGTCAATTAGCAATTGAAATGTCCTTTTGCTTTCACAGCTGAGAATCCAAAGCTCCTGTTTCTGTTTCCTGACCTTCTGGCAGTGTGCCCTAGCAAACTGGTCTGTGGTGCAGCCCAGAATAGAGTACAGAGGTAGTTCCAAAGAGGGAAGGAGAACTGCTCTGCGTGCCCGTAGCATCTGGCTATAAAGATGCAGCACATTGTCAAGGGACTGACAGGAGTGTTGAGACTCTATGGGGTTATAGCTCAGCTTCCTCCAGTAACTCGAGCTAGATGATTTATTGATTAGGGAGACACATCTACACTCTCACAATTTCAGTGGAGCTGTAAGTTGCTATTTCAGAAGACCCCTTATACTGTTGAAACAGTTCTGGTACTCTGAATAGGATATTGGAAGTGAATGTTACCTGAGTAAATTCTACTCACCTGTAAGTAAATTAACTGACTGAGAAGTCGTACATTATATGTCACTATGTGTTTTTTATTTCTCTGCTGTCATTTCAGAACAGCGTAGGATACCTTGCCCAGCACCAGCTTTTTGATCAGGTAAAATTGAGTGAATGTTTTTATCTTCCTACGGTCAAGTGTTCCCTTTGTAGCACAAGTTGTCTCTGAGGATGTCAACTGTACTAGATCAAAGGGTGTATGAAGAACTCACAGTAATTATTAAGTTTCTATTCCCATGATTTGAAAGAACAGAGGGAGAGGTTTGTTCCATTTGGCTGAAAAATATGGAAATAAAACTCTCTAGGGATGAAGATATACAGTTCTAGAGCTGTTTTGGTACACTGTAGCATATACTTACAGGGATAATCACCCAGAAAGCAGCAGTTCCTCAAAGACTATAATAAAGTCAGGGAAGAGATTTGGACAGAAAAAAATTTTCAGTGTTGATCACCATCATCTGAAATGTCATTCCAGTTTACCAGAATTTAGGTTGGTGGGAGACATAAATAGGAATCTCATGGAGAAACAAGCATAGTGTATAAGAGATCAGCTGCTTCTTTTCCATGAACACAAACCTGCCTACTCTTGTGGGTGTCTCTGGTTTCTGCTAAAGCAAAGAGTCTCTAGAGAATGAGAAACCCCTTTCTTTCTCCCACCTCTCCTGCCAACAGAATCTGCTCACTAGAACAGAAAGTATGAAGATATTTCCTGCAGATTCCTAGCAGGTCAACTACTTCTCTCCCGCCCTTGCTGGACAAACAGGTCATTTGTTTTCTTTGTGTCAAGCCTTGTCTATCTGTTCTGTGAATTACGGATACTTGGCAAGTCAGCATGTATCCTTTTTAATGTTTATTTCTTTATGGAAATAGATCCCAGAACTGAAAGAAGATATCAGTATCCCTGACTACTGCTGCCTGGGGGAAGGGGAAGAAGATGACATCACCATTAATGCTTGGTTTGGTCCAGGAGGCACAATCTCACCTCTTCATCAGGATCCCCAGCAAAATTTTTTAGCCCAGGTATGTACTCTAGTTACTCTACCCATGCCATTAATGCAATACTTAGAAAAAATGCTTATGGTATGTAAGTGTTAGAGACAAGGGGAGCAGACAACTTGAGGAGTAATTGAAGGACAGAGAACATGCAGATACTATTTTGCTATTACATTGCATTTGTCATTACTGCAACTTAATATTCAGTGTAATTTTGTAGGCCACAAGTGTTCCTCACTGAAACAGACCATTACTTACCCTTGTCTTATAGATGATAAATATAAATCACAAGAAGCAGCTTTTCCAAAGTCAAACAGGGAATTTGTAACAGAGTTGGGAAGAACGTGGGTCCTCTCACAGTGTATCAAGGAGCTTCTTTTTCTGATGTCATGGTTTAACCTCAACCACTCACTCATCCATCAACCCCAAACCCCACACAGCCACTCACTCATCCATCAGCCAGCAGGATCGGGGAGAGAATCAGGAAAGTAAAACTAGAAAACTTGTGGGTTGACATAAAGACACTTTCATAAGTGAAATAAAAGCCATGCACACAAGCAAAGCAAAACAAATAATTAATTTAGTGCTTCTTATGGGCAGCAGGTGTTCAGCCACCTCCAGGAGAGCAGGGCCCCATCACGTGTAACGGTGACTGGGGAAGACAAATGTCATCACTCCAAACATTTCGCCCCCCTTCCTCCTTCTTCTCCCCAGCTTTACATACTGAGCACTATGTCATATAGTCTGGAATATCCCTTGGGTCAGTTGCAGTCCCAGTTTTGTCTCCTCCCAACCTTCCACGCACTCCCAACCCCCTCCCCAATGTGGCTACACAAGGGACAGGAAAGGCTTTGGTTCTTTGTAATCCCTGCTCAGCAAAACGAAAATGTCTCTATATTATCAACCCTATGTTCAGCACAGATCCAAAATACAGCCCCACATCAGCCACTGTGAAGAAAAAAACAGCCAAAACCAGCACATCTGGAAAGCAAGATTTTGAGGGGGACTTACTTTAATCCACATCAGGTTACCCAGTAAAATATCTATTCATGCATGCAGAGAGATATGAATTAATATTTGCACTGTGCTCTCATTTCTGCTGAGTTTCTCTTGGTAGACTTTTTGATGATGCCTCGTGATGCCATTCAAATTGTGGCTGTGGAGTAGAGGAAGGCACAAGCACAACTAACAAAGTGCAGTGATCCCTGCTGGCTGGGTGGTGGCTGCTGCCGAGATCAAAGTGTTTCCAGTAATGAGGAAACCAGTATCTGGAGATGCAGGCTATTGCCCATTAACTGGTGCCTGCAACCTTATAATATACAAGGCCTTAACCCAGTGAGGCAAGTGAAGAAAGGAGCTGTTAACAGCTGGTGGCAGTCCCCCAAAAAGTTCAGGTATTCAGAAAATGTGCTGTTGGAGCAATAACCAGCATTTTTGTCACTTCCATACATCACCAAAAATGCCATGTAACATTTGGGTCTTTAGAGAGTTAATTAATATCCATAATCCCCTTGGGGTATGGAAGGCATCCTAAAAACACATGTACAGCCAAAGTTATTCAGATCAATACTCTAGTAGTTTACCCAGTGATAGTGGAGAGTAGGACAGGGCAGGAGTACATTGGTACTTGTCCAGCCTGTTGAATATGTTAATGTGCTGTCCTTGAAGTAACAAACTCTGAATATTCAGTATGACAGCTTGGGTGTCGGTAAGATTTCAGGAAATCCTATTCTGTTACGTGGGAAGGGATGTTAAGATAGAGGAAAAGCAGCTTGCTTGGGAATGGTTGAGTAGCATAATACCAGTCTAGGGTACTGTGATTAGAGTACTGACTTCTCTCTTAACAGGACAGTTCCAAACAAGCATGATCATGCCTAGCCTTTGAGGAGATCTGGAATGCTGGCACAAGCAGCATGAATCTTCATCCTAAGCCTTCTGTTCCACTGGTATCAGTGCAGGAGTCAGCTTTGACTCATTCATGCTGCCATGTCTGGGCACCAACAACTTGCAGTTCGCGTGGTGTTCAGGGCAGCCAAGCCAGTCAGCTTACAAATTCTCATTTCAGCACTCTAGTGAAAGAACTGGTTTAATGATGACACAGGAATAAGAGTTTTAGGAGCATATGGAAGCTTGGCAGTCACTGTGCAGGTACCTCTGCCTGATGATATGAACTGCAATGAAGATTCAACCTCTTTATTCTCAGTTCTACTTAATTTCTAGCTACATAGAGCCCAAATAACAATGTATAAATGGGGTGCCTTAAACTTTGAATTGAAAGTAATTTGGTTAAAGGCATTTCCTTCCTAAAGGTATTCAAATTCTCATCTGCTCCAAGGAACAGGTTCTTATATTTCAATAGTTTGATTTTACTTTTTATTATAGCAGTGTCTATTACTAACAAAGATGATGTTCCTTGTAATTAGGTATATTTACTGTTAAATTCCAGGTGTGGCCCACAGCTTCCAGTAATGTGCTACTTAATGACAAATGGAAAACATTTATTTTCTATATACAGGTATTAGGAAGAAAGTATATCCGTCTGTATTCACCACAAGATTCAGAAAACCTGTACCCACATGAAAGCCAAATTCTTCACAACACTAGTCAGGTAAATAGTTGCCTGAAATTTTAATATCAGTAGTGTTACCATATCAAATAATTTTTGAGTAAAGACATTCTGCTAATGATCATTTGGGTTTTTTATAGGTTGATGTGGAAGATCCTGACTTGGTCAAGTTTCCCAATTTCACAAAGGCTGCATTTCAGTCCTGCATTCTGATGCCTGGACAGATTCTGTTTATTCCAGTTAAATATTGGCACTATGTGCGATCACTTGAGCTCAGCTTCTCTGTCAGTTTCTGGTGGTCATAACTCTGAAGCATCGTCTGCAGCATTGTGATGGGAATTAAAGATCAGCAAAGTAGCATCTAGCAGCATCTTTTCATCAGGGGTTAGAGGTGGAGCAAAACCAAAAACCAACAACCTCTTGCTAAAGCATGGAGAAAGAACCAGGATGGGTAAATGGAAAGGTGATGCTGCAGCCACTTCATTTTTGTAGATGTTTCTAATAACTCCTTGTGAAGAGCATATGTTAGGTCACTGTCCTGTGTGCCTGTGTCCCTCAGAAACAGCCTGTGTCTGGGCACTGCCAGGGCTCTGCCTCTGTCTGCAACACCAGCTCATTGTTATCTTGGATTTAATAGCACTAAAGCCTGGAGTCACCTAGAGAAATGGTGAAATTTTATAATGTATTTACTCTACATTATAAAATAAAGCTAATACTAATAAAGGAAAGTACTAGTCTCCTGCATGGAAAAAGTTACTTGTGTATCCTGGTTGCAGCCAGGACAGAGTTAATTTTTTAAGGGGGGGTGGTAGCGGTTGTGACCACTTGCCTATGAATCTTCAGTCTCTTGTACACTGTGTTATTAGTATTGTAGCTGTTACTGTTTGTTTTCTTGGATTCCATTGCTGTTCCCAGTTTCTTCTTATATCAACCCATGATCTTCACCTTTTGTGCTCCCAGTTCTCTGCAGCCCACCCCCGGGGAGGGAGCGGCTGGTGGTTTGGAGTGTTTCGATGAGAACATTAAATTGGGGAGTACCATTCCTAAACCATGACATCTTGTTAAAGCCCCGAACATAACTGAGGTTAACCCATAGTTTAATTGCCATTAAATAAACTGAAGCATAATTATACTTTGATTAACCATCAGCTGAACCGATGTCATGGCCTTGCTGAAGTGTCTCTACCAAGGACAGGAATGCTGCCATTCCAGTCTGGTGTCTGGCAGTAGCCATTCCTTTGTTTTTTTCCAAGTCACTCTTAAAGAAAAAAACATCTTTACATAAAACTGGAGACAGAAGTACTAGGACTAAAAATCTAAAGAATCTCAATATGGTAATTTTTTCAGCACTTCGTAGACATAAGGTGACATTGCCCCAGGTCCTGTTGTACTCTTTCCCAATTGTTCTGACTGTGGCAATATTCCCTCCCTTACTGAGCACAGCTGCTCATGACCTGGCCTTATGTCAAGACAAACTGTTCTGCATCTAAAGAAGGGACAAAACTCAAGCCACAGTGCCAGCTGGAAGTGTTCCAACTCCAGCCCTAGGTCAGAGACCTTACACGTGCTGCATGGATTTCTCACCTGCCTGAGGTGCTACAGCAGGTGTCAGTTCCATTGTGTAGCTCAAACTGTACAGATAAGGAACACCTGCTGAGAAGAGTCCACCTGCATAAATCAGCTTGCAGGACTGACTAAAACACTTGCATCTTTCATCCCCAAGACATGCACTGAAAGTCCCAACCCAAGAATATGGAGAACTACAAACACAAAACAGCCTCCAAGAAAGCTGTGCGGGCATTACTGTGAAGGAGAACAGGAAGGTCAACAATAGTTTTATTATAAGATTCTTAGAACTTCAGAAAATAGCCACTGTTACTAATGAATACAACACAGTCTAGCTGTTCTGCCAGAGTGAGTGAAAACAGCTGTCACTGACAGCAAGTTCTACTGGCATCATCTAGGGCTGAGAACGGAGCTCTATGGTGACTGGGAGGTCATCCGACTCATACCTGTAAAGAAAATGAAGGTTACTGGATGACACACACAAAAAAGGATAATATTGTATAGCCTCCTGATTTTTAAAATGCTTTGTATATTCCTGTGTTGCCGTTCACAATGTCCAATTCCCCTAGAGAAATAGGGCATTCCAAAGAGATTCTTAAAAGCTCAGTATTTCCAGAAGTTTTAGTGCCATGGGTTGTGTGTCCCCCCTATTCGCTGCCACCTCCCCACCTTAAGGTAGTTATAAAACAACATGCAGGGTCTGCTGTGCCCCTGTGGCACAGTCTGGGCACTGTGAGGGCTTGGTGTTGCCCGTGTGTGGTTTAATGTCTCAAACGTACAGCTGAAGCCAGAAATAACTGATACTCAGTTACAGCTGTAAATAATACAGGTACTGCCACCAAACGTCACAGCTCATTTTCTAGTATTATTACACCCTGTTTTTTAAAAATGGATTGCTTGGTACCTGAGATGTCACAAGACCAGAATTCATTACACTTCGGACAACGGGGTTCAGTCTGAGCTTTGAAGTACTTTCTGACACAGGGTAAATGCATTCCAATTCCACAGGATTCACATACTTGGCTCTGAAATCCAGGAGTGATGATTAAAAAAAATCTGTCCTTCAATTTAAGAGGAAGTTGTTACAAAGGGCAGCAGATATGCAATGCAGTATTCCAAAGAGGGTTCCCACAGTACGGGTGGTAGATACTCAACAGTCGAAGCTGGTAAATAATAAAAGGAGGTATTCTTCTGGAAACTAGGAAATAGTATTTCCATATATGGACAAAATATAGCTTGAAAGACAACAATTTCAGTGCAATAAGGGAGACCAATTGGGAAGAAGTAACATGGAATCGTGTTAGTTGGGCAGATCAGAAAATGCAGGCTCACAGAGCAAGAGGATGCAGCAGCTTTGGAATAGAAATCCAGGCTGTAAACACTTACACAAGACTAAACTGGTAGCATCCCAGTTATCACAACCCAGTGTTCTAGCATGCTCTATATAGCCACATGTTCCTTCTGAGGTCCAAACACAAGTAATTACTGAGCCAAACCCCAGGAACCCCAAGAATGAACGTGTGTCACGTGAAGACTGCTGTTGATAAGGCCCAAAGAGGAGACTGCTAACACCTCACTGCTAAACCTGTTTCAACAACAGAGGCTCATCTCTAGCCTGCTGGTTTGGAAAGCCAGACAGCACAACCACGTTCGTCATTGAGTGAGTGCACTTTCCCCAAATTTATACTTGGAGACTCTGCTCCAAGACAATTTTTTACTAAAGACAGAAGATAAAATGCCTACGAAGAAAAATAATGCTTTTTTTTTTTTTATTATACATAAGCATCATGACCAGATTACAAGACCAGGATTTTTTAATGCACACCTAATACTCGAAGTATCACAAACCTCAGCTATGACCATGTGATAAACAGACATTACCTGGACTGCGAGGCTACGACAGATGTTACATTTCCTTGCCACGTCCTGGTAGTTGCTGAGAATGTACTGTTCCATTTCAATTATGCAACGAGTATGCAGAGTATATTCTCCATTTTTCTAAGGAAACATATAAAGATGAGAAATTTCTTTTAATTCCTTTGACCTTTTTTGACTTTGCTAACCCCTTGATAGCAAGCATTTGACAGCCACTTTTTTCTGCCATCATGAAACTAACATGCTGGTACCGGTACAATGCAAAGCTAAAACACTTTTGAAGCAGCAGAACTCCTTTGTTTTGCGGAGCAGAATAAAGGTTCCACATCTTTAACTAGTCCTTGGGAAGTACAGATGAGCAAGCATGCTCTCCTTAACAGAGGCATGCAGTTTTGAGTTTTGGGACCCTCCATTTGCATGTTAGAGAAAATTCTCCCAGCTTTCAACAAAATCTAGGTGTTTACTGCTTGAGGTATCTTTGGAAATCTCTGCTAAATCACTTTAACATATAAGTGACTGTGTGGCAGCAGGTTGGAGATCTATGATGCAATGACTCCAGCAGAGAAGGACTGAGGTCTCATTTGGCCAGCAACTGTAGTGTTCACACAGTGAGCCCATCTCAACTGCTCCCTCATGAATTAAAGGAGATGTGACCATGTGCACAGTGGCCCATGCATTCCTGGTGCAGGAGTTTTTAACGTGTTTGGCCTCACCACTTTTCAGGAAATTCCAAATGTAACTAACAGCACTGATCACCCTGGAGAGCTTTCCCCAGCTCCCATTCCTAGTTGAAGGATGTCTGTGTGTGACTGGGCAGAGCAGGACACACGAACCCACCTGGCTCAGGTACAAGAAACTGAAACCATTTAGTCCTGTATAGACCTACCCAAGGACTTTTTCCTTGTAAGTCTACTTCCTTTTCTGCAAAAATCACCAGAGCAGCAATAAGCACGGGCCCCCTAAAACCATTTTTGCCATCATTCATTAAGGAATGGCTCCAGTTTCACCCATCATATCCATAAGAACATGGTAGCTGGACCTACTGAAATACGAACACTTGAAAGCAGTTACCTCAGAGAGCCACTTATCCTCCACAAAAACTTTCAGCACTTGTTCTGCTTCCTTTTTCTTCATTTTCTTTGTCTTAAGTTTGTCAGCCAAGTTTAAAATATCTGTAGATGAGGCAAAGCCATTTTCTGATAAAATGATTAGGTCCATCTACAAAAGAAACATTACTAAGTATAAAAAACCCTGCAGACATACCTTACAGTAATGTACTGATGTGCAGGGTTTTTAGCATCCATACATGTGAGAGATACTACAGAATATGGCTTGAACCAGAACTGTAAAACAAACGCAAAAAGCTGAAACATTGTCCCCTTGACAGTTTCGATGTTTGCCAAGAAAACATTTCCACGAATAGAAGTGTACATGCTACCTAAATGAAGCTGCATTCAGAGACCCCTCAGCACACTCAGCAGTGATGGATCTGTTTTCTTTTTATCTGCTCAACTAAGTTTTCCACTCTGGAGTCATCAGGACTTCTGAGCCTACCTGGCACCTGAAGGCTGTACAGTATCACCAACCTTCACAGAACCTCACTGGAAACATTCCTGCTGCTCGTTAGCACAGAGCAGCACACAGAGTCCATGTCAGCAGTGACATGGCCACGACAACACACCCTCTGCAGTGCTGACCTGGCTGTGTGGGGGAGGGCAGGGAAACCTCTGGGTCCTATCCATGGAGATTAGACTTCTGCAGCTGTCACAGAACAGTCAATACACCTCTCTTTCCAGTTCATACAGAATATGTAATGAGTGTGAAAAAAAAAAAGTCTAGTGGCTGGAGAAATTAAGTTCTCAAAGTCCAAGACACTGTGAGAACAATTCAGTAAAACACCTAAGATACACAGCTATGATCACAACTCACAGTAATGGTTATTGATAAGAAATTAAATATCAAATGTCCTTGAATCTTGGCCCAGTAGTTCTATTTGGAACTTTAAAAAATCTCAAGCGTGTGTTTTCTTTTTTGAAAAGCAGCATTCTGACTAGTTTATTAATACAGAATTAATTGGCTAAGCAGTAACAAATGTCTATATTCAAATCAGAAAAAAAAATGTTATTAGCATTAAAATCTACTGTATATTACTAAACTCCTGAAGCCAGTGAAAAATTCAGCAATCACAACTGAAAATCTTGAAGAAAGGTGTTAGTGAAACTTCAGCATGTGTGTGTTGAGTCCTAACCTCAAGGAGCACTTCCCCGGTGCTGATTTTGCCTTACCCATAACTGACTTCCAGCAGGGAATCATTACTTGCATGTACTTCCATCCCTGCCAATCCCATCCAATCTGGGATAAACTTAGGTAAAATGGCAACTAGTTCCTGAACCGCATCTCCATTCATTTCCATTTCCATTCATCTTAACGTGATACCTTCCCAAATAATGTGATTTACTAAATGATTACTGACATACTTACTGTTTTTCTGAACAACTCTAATTCAATTTCCGTATAGTCAGATGCCATTTTAGTTATTTCAGTTTCTGCCAAATTCACCTAAAAAAAGAAATAAACTGAAATCATAGTGCCATTGTAGTTTTACACCAGAAACTGTAAAAGGTCCTCTGAGGTAAAGAATACATCAATTTACAATTAACAGAAATGTCATTTCTTTAAGGGGCATGAAAGAGGCTGATCCTTGAAGCGCACTCGATGGTACTCCAGTCCTTTATTTACAACCCTTGATCTTCCAGCCACATGTTCTCCAGAGCTGCCTCTGCCCAGGCCAAGCCCTTCAACAACCAAACCCCCCGAAGTAACACAGAGGCTGCAGCAGAGCTGACATGTCAAACCAGGCACAGTGGTGGACAGCAGCACGAACTATGTTATCAGTCACCTTTTTTTCCACACTGAAAAACAATTGCTGATCTGGAGAAACTTCTTATAGGCTGCTCCTCAGCAACCCCTTTGTGCTAGGTTGATTTTTGTGTAGGAGAAAAAGAAAACTTAAGTTGGAGGGCTCTGTTTTCTAGTTTAAAAATCTGTCTCAAGAAATAAAGTCTCCTGTGGAAAAGGAATCTCACTTCAGCACTTAAGCAACGTTTATGTTAAATAACTCCAACACTGCTGTGGTCCTTGCTGCCATGTCCTATCCCACAAACCAGGGCTGTGGCAATTTATCCTCCCCCTTCCCTGTCCTACCAGCAGTTCCTGCAGCTGCTGTTGGCCCCACACAAACACAGCACCTACACAAACACAGCTGGCCCCACACAAACATAGCAGGTACCTACTACAGCATAATGTGCTCTCCCATCCTCTTCTGACATTCCTTTCCGAACCTGCATAAACAAAGGCTGCAGGTGCCTGTTAATAGTGCTGATGAAATCATCCAGTTTATCGTGTGCGTAGTAAACTGAAAATAAATAAGAAAAAGCACATACAGAGAAAAGTCAAACAACTACACACCAGGCAGATTTTTTCTGTGAAACGTTTTTTCCCAGGTAAAAGCACTAAAACTCCATGAGGCAAATTCAAACAGGGCTGTTCTATTCAGCATATGTATCATTTTCTTGTGCTGCTGTCTCCTGGCCTTCAGAGACGCTCAGCTCCTTGGAAGTCAGTTGAGAGAGAGTTCAGACATTCTGCCTTGCTGTAGGGAACCCACAACACTTATCCAGTAATTACAGTGACTTGAACTAAGCTGAATTTAAAATAAAACACGACTAGGAAAAATTACTATTCAGAATAGAAAAATACACTGGCTTGCTTCCCTTTACACACGTGATTCCTTGTTTCTGTGTGTTCTGTTTCACAAATTAATGGCAGGTAAGTGATCAAGTTACATATAAAAAAAAATTCTAGTATTGTAGAAACATGGGTAGTATCTTGTGTCGTGTTCTACAAACAAATTAAATACTAGCAGCAGTTCTATCACAGACATAATCAAGATGGCCTTTGGAGTTGTTCTGTGGAGGTGCAGGCAATGGCTCTTGCCTGCACAGCACCAGCACAACTCTCAGGTCCATTCAAAACAAGATTTTGTCAGTGGCAGAACTCCTGTTGCCTTCATCAGGCTAGGGTTTAAAGACCAGGGTTAAGAAATAGCTCATAACTTTAGATTCATGTCTCAAAAATACAACCAGTTGTCACTAAATTATCCCTGTTCTCAGTCACAGGAGTCACTTGCGTGTATCGGCATCGGGCAGGAACAATAATAAAGTACAATATTTAAATATAATTTTGCCACCTGGCTGGCCCCTGTCAACAGGAAACACTGCACACAGCACAGTCAGGGAGTGTTAGTAGCAGATCTGAAAGCGGGTAAAAGATGAAAGATAACAGAATATTCTTTTGTTCAACAGCTCAAATATTTTAATGCAAGTGGCTGCTCCAGTAGATCTGCTGTGAAAAAAAGGGATATAAATTCTCCATAAAAAATGAACAGGAGTCAGACCACACCAAAAGCTGCACTTCACAATTGTAGCATCTAAGAAGGTGGCCAAGTTACAGTTCCTGGCTCAGGAGGCCTAAAAATAGACTACTTCATCCTGACCTAATGCCTATGGATAAGTAGATACAAATCCACAGTAAACCAGAAGAGTCCCTGCAGAGTGGGTAGCACGGTGACAAGACACAGGGACACTCCTAAGCCTGGCAGAAGTACAGTTTCCAGGACTAGGAACGGGCAATACAGTGCAGGTGAGATGAGACAAAGCACAGCCATCCACCAGGAAACCTCATGTCATCCTCACTGAAACATTTCTGCAACACTCACTTCTCCCACAGCACCAGATAGAAATAACTGAAGTGCATTTACTTAAAAGCATTCACTATAGTTAAGTACTATCAGCATCAAAAATTATTTTTTAAAAATCATTTGTATGTATAATCTATAAAAAACAATTCTGATAAAAAAAAGTGGTTTATATGAATCTGATCTGATTAGAAGTTAGTTTACTCACTGCTGTGTTACTTTATCTTTCAGGAAAGAGAGAGGACACACACATCATTACAATTTTTTAACTTTTTTTAGCTGGTGTGTGTCTTTCAGAAATCCAATTATTTGTAAGCTGCACCAGGAGAAAAAAAACACTTCTTCCATCTCCAAGACAAACACACCTTTATCAGTTTCACAGCAATGGTGGTGTAATTTCCTGGCCTCTGATCCTTCTGTTATCCCCTTAGACATCAGAACCTGCAAGAACCGCCGATGAGCATCAGTCATCTGAGCTGCCATCGCAGTGTCCCACCAGGCTTCACGTGCTGCAGGAGGTGTAAGCTGGAATTAATGCACATGTTCATACAAATTAAGAATACGCAGTCCAAGCATATGTAAGATTTCAATTAAAATCTCTTACATTCAATGAGGGCAAAAGAGCAGATCCCCAGATCGTCCTCGGAATGGAGATGGTGACCAGCTCTGAGGTTCCGGAAGGCTGCAAAAGATTAAGTCCAACTACTTTTAGCTACAGAATAGAACAAGGTAGGCATTGTGCTACTGTCACCAAAAAACAGGAATCAAGCTCCTTAACACCATGGTAGCCCTAAGCAGCAGGCACTGCTTTATTACAGTGCTGGACGCACCGGGCAGTGACTCCTGCCTGAGGTGCACGCTTGGCTCAAGATGATACAATACTGAGTCTGTGTAGTCTCACAGGGTCTTCTAGCTGGGTCTCTGGGCACCTGGTGGTCGTTGAGCCTCTGAACTTTGATCTTCTAAATATGGTGCTGTTTTCATCGAAGCTGCACAGTTTGCTACCAAACAAACTGGATTGGGCCAGTTTGACTTGTTACAAATGTGGTTACAGATAAAACTCTCATACCCCCAAAGCTGAAAATAAATGTTGTGTGACAAACTCAACACCATGTGCGGTTCTGTGTGGGATGTATCGTGTGTGGGATGTATCATGTGTGGGGTG